TACTTTTAGACGGTGGCGCCATTTCAATATTTTGGTCTTTGAGATAGCTAACTTCCAAACATGGAGCAAACTCCGAACATTTATATGTTTATACTTATGTCAAATAAGGATGCAAAAAATTGCGATAACTGGAGCCTGAGAACAAAAAAGCCCCAAATTTTTTGCTCCCAAAACAAACGTGAGAGCAACAAGTTGATGCAGTATTTTTTGTACTATTTTAAACTAGACTTATATTCATCAATAAATTTTAAGTTTCATAGTATTATCTCTCAGCGTTCAAAAATTTTGACAATATAAAATTTAAACGTTAAACTTTATATGGTTATAATTTTTGAACGCTAAAATATTTTACTATGAAATTAAAAATCTCAAAGACCAAAAATTGAATTGGCGCCACTGCTTTTAGAATGTTTGTAATTGAGTAAATTTATTGGGTAAATGTATAATATCCCTAAATCTTTTTTGTCTCAAAATCATTTACCTTTAGCGACTTTTGATTTTACAATGTATATTGGTATATCTTACAATCATATCGCCATCTTTTGAACGGATGTGACTGTAACAAATTAGAAATGATAAAAAATTACTTTCAATGTGTTCATGTTTTCAAAATTAATTTTTTCAATGTGTTCATGTTGACAAGTTTCAAAATTTCAATGTGTTCATGTTGACTAGTTTCAAAATTTCAATTTGTTCATGTTTCAAAATTAATTTCTTAGAGACAAAGATTGATTTGATATGTTTAAATTTCTTCACAAAAAATCTATAGATTAAAAAGTCTTTTACTGTCCATAAAAAAAATTACAGCATTAATATTCAGTAAGAAGAAGTTGAGTTTTTATTTGGTTGTAATATCCTTGCTCTTTTTTAAGTTATCATTGTTTTTTTTCTTATTAACGATAACAAGTTTATTCAATTTCAGCCATATTTTGCAATGGTTTTTTTCTATAACTGTATAGAAATTTAATTTCTAAGCAAATTTTTTTAAAAAAAGTACAGTTAACAACACCATCTGGTACTTAAAAATTATTCAGTAGAGTATTCATGAGCTGATGTAAGGATTGTTTATAAAATAGCATTTAGCTTTGATTTATAATTAAAAAATATTTTGTTGTTAACTTTGCTGATAGGTTTGGTGGTAACCATTAAGAATTATAATCAGTTACTGTTTTAGATTCTCACATTATAACATTTTTATCAATCCAAAATAAAACCGCAGCAGTTTGTGTAGATGCTTCAGCGAGGCCTCCCTTGCAATAACAGTGTGAATATTAAATTCTGCAAAATCCATGGATTAATTTGGGTATCATTTAGATTTTAAGAATGAAGCACTTAAAAATTTACTAAAAATGTTATTTCCTATTTAAACACTTCTTTGATTTATATCTTCATATCTTCAGATGTGAAAAAACTTGGTGAAAATAATAGATAATTTGATAAATCAGTGTAAGATGCAGCAAGAAAGGTTTCTTTATTATTTTTGAATTCGTTATTTGGAATTGAGCAAGTGTCTATGAGCCTTTGTATAAGATTTTTGATCATACCTGTTTTTCGAAGGTACATCTAATGTTTTGTAGTACGACATTTCTTTACAGTAAATTTAGTATATAAAATTTCTTAAAGAAAGAAGTATAAATTAAGTTATTACTGCAAATGGAATCCTCTTGCAAATAAAAAAATAATATTTCCACTATTAAGTTCAATAAATTTATGTTTATTAAAAGATTAAGTAGTTTTATGTTTAATAATGTATATTTATAATGTGTAACCTGGAGAATTCATAAAAAATTTGTCACAATTATTGTCAGTTTTGTATTGCCTTCTTATATATATATATATATATATATATATATATATATATATATATATATATATATATATATATATATATATATATATATATATATATATATATATATATATTTATATATATATATATATATATATATATATATATATATATATATATATATATATATTTATATATATATATATATATATATATATATATATATATATATATATATATATATATATATATATATATATACATATATGTATATATATATATATATATATATATATATATATACATATATATATATATATATATACATATATATATATATATACATATATATATATATATATATATATATATATATATATATATATATATATATATATATATATATATATATAAGAGAAAATAGTGAAGTCGTATTTGTTATTTGGCTAATATTAGTTTATTTAAATTTATAGTAAAAGAATTTCAGGTGGTCAAAAATATCAAAATATAAAAGTAAGATTTAATATAAGGTACAAAAGTGTAAAATTGCTCCTTAGCAATGGCATAATAACGAATATACATCGTATATTGATTCTTATTGAACTGCTTGAGCAATAATTCTCCAAATAAGGTTTTAGAAAATATTGAGTGCTAGTTTGGCTTTTTTTTGACATGAAAAGTCAAACCACTTTTCTGTGATAAAAAGTTACTTAATTTCTTATTATGTATATCTTTGCTATTCTTTTTTTTTTTTTTTTTTTTTTTCGTGGAGAATAAATTAAATATATTATTTCTAGTTGTACAATATAAAAATTGGTATTTTGAGGAGAAGAAAAACTTGTGCTTCATGAGTTTTTTTTTAAAAAAAAGGATAAAGAAAATCAAGATTGCCAGTTTTTTCTTGAAATATAAAGACTTTTGTAACGAACCGTCTTTATTATTTTTTGCCTAACTTTACTATCTCAATCAACTATCTAATTGTTGACGATGAAGTTATTCCACAATAGTAATTTATCAAAATTAGTCCAATAATCTTTTAAAATAATCTTTCCTCAGTTTTCAAAATGAGTCCAATCTTTTAATTGATGTTGATGCTATTATACAATTTCTTACCTTTGTTTGAACTGACAGTGAGATGAAGTCTATTTCTTACCTTTGTTTGAACCTGACAGTGAGATGAAGTCTATTTCTTACCTTTGTTTGAACCTGACAGTGAGATGAAGTCTATTTCTTACCTTTGTTTGAACCTGACAGTGAGATGAAGTCTATTTCTTACCTTTGTTTGAACTGACAGTGAGATGAAGTCTATTTCTTACCTTTGTTTGAACCTGACAGTGAGATGAAGTCTATTTCTTACCTTTGTTTGAACTGACAGTGAGATGAAGTCTATTTCTTACCTTTGTTTGAACCTGACAGTGAGATGAAGTCTATTTCTTACCTTTGTTTGAACCTGACAGTGAGATGAAGTCTATTTCTTACTTTTGTTTGAACTGACAGTGAGATGAAGTCTATTTCTTACCTTTGTTTGAACCTGACAGTGAGATGAAGTCTATTTCTTACCTTTGTTTGAAGCTGACAGTGAGATGAATATTAAGATGAATAATGATCTTAAGAATAAAAAAGTTCTTTGTTTCTATTTAATTGCACTGAGTGTTTATGGAATATAAAGTTCTATAACAGTAAAAAGTGATTTTTTAATATTAATCTATATTTAGCAATTGCAATGCATGAAATTAGAAAAGGACATTAACAAACCGCAACACAAAGTTGCGGTTTGTGAATATGAGGCATCATTTTCAGAAGTAAGACATTCAATGTGTTGTGGAAGTATTAATACCTGGTGCAAATTCCAAGCAGACAATATTATTGAAAAATGTGTATAAAGAAAAACCAGTCTGTTGTAATTCGGGACATAATCATGCCAATATTTATTGATCTGATGAAAACATGTTAGAAAGGTGTCTTCATGAAAAACATGTTAGAAAGGTGCCTTCATGAAAAAACTCAAAACAATAAAAATTCTTTAAATGCAAAAATATGGAAATGTTGTCCAAAAGATAAAGTGGTACACTCAATGTTTATTTAGAGCTAATAATTTTGATAACAATTATAACATTTAGCAATCAAAAAAGATAGTTAAAAAATTAAAAATATAGCTAAAAAATTAAATGATAATTTAAACCAACATTGGAAGCAAATTAGAGCAATAAAAAGGTTAAGTTGATCAAGATAAAGAAAGAGTTAATAAATCTATGAATAATCTATGATGCTGGAAGTACATTTTAAACTCATCGAAGCAATTTTTTTTTTTAAATTTATTCTTGAGCAGAGTTATAGGGTTCTAAAGTGAGATATTTTGGAATAAATTTTGGCCAATTAGTTGCTTATGTGATTTTGCTTCAATGAGTATCTTGTTATATTATAAGTAAACACTGAAAGTTTGAGCTTTTATAGGATCTACCATTATCTTAATACCTATCAATTAATCTTTTAACTTTTTTAGGGTTTGTGACACAAAACTAAGGTCTAAATATAAAATTTATATATTTTTAAATGTATAACTCCTTTAGAATTGTGATTTTAAAAGTTGCTCTGGCCAACAACAACAAAAATTTTCTGTTACTGAACAAACAATACGGTTTATTGTAGCATAACTCAGCATTTGGGGTAAAGTTCATAATATTGTCAACAAAAAAATAATTTAGAATAATAATTTTTGAGTCTCAAATAAGGCGTATTATCATGATGTTTTTTTCAATTTTACTTTTTTTGGGGGAGAATGAGTTCAATCAAATGTTGACGTAATTTTATATTTTTGGGGGTCTCTGGAAGTTTGACAAGGGGTAGGGGGAAGTAAAAATTGCCGAAAAATTGTTGACATAAATAATGCGCAGCTTCTAAAATGTTTTATTTTTTAATTAAATGATATATATATTTTTTAATTCGATTTAATTTTTTTCTTTTTTTAACGTAAAATTTTTTTAAATTCTATTTAATTACTCTTGTTTATGCTTAAGTACCCTGTTAGTACCCAGTGTTATTTTTTAAACCAACCCAGCTTCTTCTCAACCTTTATTTGAAGTTAATTGAACTTTAAACATTGCGAAGTTATTACTACATGTCGATAGTTACTTTCCAGCATATGCAAGATATTTTTAAACCATCTAAGATTGCTATCATTCTCGTATAATTTTAAGTATGTTTATTTTAGATGAATCCAGATAAGAAATTGGTTAGCGACTAACTAGATTTACAGTAACTTTTAGACGATTTTTTTTCTCACTCTATTATTTGTGTTTGTTTTTTACTTTTTAAAAAGATTTGTTGTTAGTTGTTGTTATTTTATAAGAATAAATGAAATTAAAATATTGCAATTTAATTTCGACGTTTTGAAAACTTTATTACGTATTGTAATTTGTTCTTATTGTAACTTTGTTGCTTGTTGTAACTTTGTTATTTATTGTAACTTTGTTTCTTATTGTAACTTTGTTACTTATTGTAATTTACTTTGTTACTTGTAATAACTTTGTTATTTTGTAACTAACTACAACACAACAACAAGTCTACATCTTGTCAATAGCTACACATATATATATGTGTAGATATATATATATATATATATATATATATATATATATATATATATATATATATATATATATATGTATAATTTTTTTATTTATTTTGGTGCCACAAGAAGTCGTTACGTTCTTATCACAGTGCACCGCGGAAAAGCATTTAAAAGGAAGTTCACGTCTCCTTCCCTACCGATGTTATAAAACTTGCCAAGAAGTGGCGTTGAAACGCGGTTCTCTAGCTTCTGAGGCAAGCACGCCAACCACTGCGCTACGGCTACTCAATAATAACAATAGTAATAATTATAACTATAATATAAAATTGAGGTAGTATGATTTTTGCTCGTTCATTTTTATTAGTAAGAATTTTGTCAACTATTATACTGCTCTTAACTGTTTATTCATAGTACTTTTGTTCGTACGTTCATCAGCAGCATTACAAAAAATGCAGGTTCTATTGTCCTAAAAAAATTTTTTTTTTTAATGTACTAATAAACTAGTTCAAATAAGTTTTTAATTTTATAGTTAAGTTATTGTTAGTTAGAATACTAATATAACTGCTTATTGTTGATTAGATTTCTGAGTTTACAACTATTGTTCAGTGAATTTATATGTGTTGGGTGTATGATTCATACATTTTTAAAGTCTATTTACAGGTTTTGTAGATGATATTTTCATGATAGTTATTTGTATCTATTAGGGCACTATGATTGCTGGCATGCGTGACTTATTGATTGTATGATGTGCCCCATATATAATCAAAAATGTTTTCTTGTGTAAAAGTCATATTGTTAAACGAATGGCTTGTAGTTAATTATAGAATAATATTTATATACAAAATAAAAATCCTTTTAACATTTCATTTTTAAAGTGCAATTATGTTAAACTAATAAATTGTATGAAAAACAATTTTTTTTGTTTTGTTTTATTTTTAGTTTTCAGATTATAATATGGTTAGAAATAAAATAAAAAAAAGATAGAGCTGCTTTACCTAATGAACTATTGAAAGTAGCTGTTAATGAAGTTTTAGATGTTAATGTTAACTGTTAATGAAGTTTTGAATGTTGTAGCCGCAAGTTAAACATAGATTGAATGACTTTAAAGAGATATAGTTGTAAAAAGAAGCCTAATCCAAATGAACTTTTCAAGCGTCGCTACCGCATTAAAACATTAAAGAAGCAAAAAAAAAAATTTTTAAGTTATTTACTAATTGAACTATGTTCAATTATGTCAATACTTGGCATATGAGTTTGCTGTGAAAAATAATCTGCGCATCATTGTAAATCAAAAACAAAATCAAAGGGATTGATTTGTTGCAAGATTTTAATAATACAACCAGGGCTGTCTCGACAAACACCTAAAGCAACTACTTTGTTTGATTGATCAGTTATTGAGCTAGCGTCAAAACGACGTTGGCCCAACGCTTCCAGCGTTGTTTTGACGTTGATCCAACGTAGTGTGCTAGCTGGGTAACCGCTTTTAGCCGCTTTTTAAAAGTTTCACAATTGTATGATAAAGGAAGATCCTTCTGGATGGATGAGCACTGCAAATCCTTCTGATTTTGATGAACTTTTATAGAAATGATAAAAAAAAATTTATAGAAATGATAAAAGATTTTGTGAAATATTTAAACTGTTCTTATAAATCTCCAATTTTGTTACTTTAGGACAGTAATAAAGTTCGTAGGTTTAATGACTGTCCATATTCCTGGATAAATTCGTATCAGTTAGAGCCTTAGATCTTGCTATTCAACATGAAGTTACACTGTTAAGTTTTCTTCTTCATTACTGTCATAAATTGTCAGCCACTGGATAGAATTGATTTTGAATCGTTGTCAAGGTTCTACAATGGTGCCTCTAACAACTGTCCTGCCGACAATATGGTTTCAATAATTGGAAAATCATATAAAAAATTTTTCTCATTTTTTAAAATTGAGACATGTTATTAAATAAGATTTAAAATCTTATCTAAAAATCTTATTTATATCTTCAAGTGAGATTATTTATATCTTCAAATGAGATTATTTATATCTTCAAGTGACATTATTTTGATCTTCAAGTGAGATTATTTAATGGGATCGCTAAAAATTTAAGAAAATTTTCCAAAATAGGTTTAAAACTTTTTTTAGGTCAGTAATGATGCGAACAAAAATGCTACTTTTGATGTAAATGTAATGATGCCAAAAAAAATGCTACTTTTTTGCATTTTATGCAAAAAAATCCTACTTTTTGCTAATTTTGCTAATTTTTGTTAGCACCGTTACTTTCAGTAATGATGCCAACAAAAATGCTACTTTTAATACCTTTTTTTAGGTCAATAATGATGCTAACAAAAATGAAACAAAGAGAGCCTTGATGCTATAAAATGCTACAAAGAGAACCTCCTTCGTAAAATAAAATTTTATGTCCAAAAAACTGTAAAACTGAATTAATATAGAAAAATAACTCAAATAAGTCAAATTTTTGTAAATTTCTTTTTTGTTGTTTTCTTTTAGTTCTATGAGAATTGCCAAACCGAAAAAAAATTTTTTTAATTTTTACACATTTTTGGAAGAAATACAGGGAAAAATAATTTTTCGAACATGGTTTGACTCATGGCTATGAATGACCGCTAGAGATTTCCGAAAAAATTCTAAAGTAAGTTTAATATGATGTCAATGGTGCCAACAAAATAGTTATGAAGCACTTTATAAATAAAATGTTATAGTTTTTATTTTAAGGACAAAAAACTGTAAAAATTAAGTTCTATAAAATTTTTATAAACTTTTGAAACAGGTAAACGCTGCGCGTATGGTTTAGAGCAGAAAAATAGTAATTGTTTAAAAAAAAAAGAAACTTCAAAAAGTTTTTTAGGCTGACTAGTGACAATTTTTTAATGCTATTGTAAAAAAAAACTCCTGTGAACAAGATGTCAGACCTGCTGTTATTTTATTTTTTAATGAAGCATGATATAAACTACAATGATATTAGACAATGTCTAGTTGTTTCAAATCGCTTATAATGCCATGTTTTATGTTTACTTTTGTTTTTACAACATTACACTTTAACATAACAAAAAATAAAGTTTGAGCTTGTACGCAAACACTTCAAAAATGACACAAAAGAATCGTTAAAGATTACATTTCTATGGTGCGTCTTAAAAAGATCAACTTTATGTCAGCAAAAATTAAAATTTTTTTCGATGTTTTATATGAAAATATTAAATGTTCTTCTGCTGGGTGGTAAACAAAAAAACAAAAAGTTTGTGCATTATCTTAAGGAATGTACCAACTTAAAATCTCTAGATTTAAATGGTTGTTTTTTAGTTTAATTGATTAAGTATTCTAACTGTTTTGTTGTTATTTTTTTTATCTTTTTTAAAAATCTGAGAACAAAGTTTTATTAAATTATACATATTTTGCAGACTATTACAATTACTATGGTAACGCACTACAATTTCAATTGGGATTCGTTTTTCAAAATTGTTTCAAATAAATTAGGTTTGTTTATTTATCAAGACTATATTTCAAAAAAAGATATCCAGAAAACATATTTATATAATAGTAAAAAAAAAGCAACAACATTAATATCATTACAAGTAGACTTGGTAGCCGCCGCCACTATTCATCCGCCGCCGCCAATTTTGTTAACAGCCAGTAACCGCCAGTTGTTTACTAATAGCCACGATTAGCCGCTACTTTAATTCAAATCTAACCGCCGCTAAAAATGCGGTTTAAAATACGGCTTACCCTTGTTTTTCTAAAGAAATTAAAAGATTTCATTCTTTTTATTGAAAATTTGATTTGTGTAAAATAGTTTTGTTTATTTTAATACTATAATCAGTTTAATTCTGAAACGATTTTCTTCATACTTTTTTGCGCTCTTGTTTGGCTCGATTTGTTATTTGATAGCATTTGCCTTCGCATACGAGACAACCTGCTTGCTTTCCAGAAAAATCTTCAGGGTATATTTCTTCTTGTTTATATAGAGTTTTAATATGAAAAGATCAATAGATAATACAATCTTATATCGTTGTGAAGCAAATGAAAGTTTATCTTTAAAATATTTAAAGATTAAGTTGTGCAGCACCTTTAAAAAAAAATGTGCATCGCTTGTTTGGAGTTATTATGGAGAATTAATAAATAAAGATGGTCAAAATTTAGATGAGAATAATTATTATTACAAACCATGTTTGGAAATTGAAAAAGTCAAATTGGATAATAACAAGCCTTCGCACTTGTCTAAAATTCATTCAGTAAAACGTTCAACTACTTAGTGGAAACATGAAAAATCATTTGTTTTTAGTGCACAAAATTGTCACTGATAAAATCTTTACCGAAGAAAAAAATAACAATATATTAAGAAATTGGTGCAGCGCAAGTGGGTCTGCGTCAAAAGTAAAGTTTGATATTACTCGTGACATTAGGCCGGGTGAATAAAAATGAGCAATTGCTTTTACTAAGTAATTGGTCAGCTTAACATGAATAAAAACTTCAGCAATTTTCCTTAATTTTTTGTTCACGTAAAGCTGAGTAATTACTGAGTAAATTGCTAAACTTTGCGTGAGTAAAATTTTAAGCAAAACACCTAAAGTTTTTATTCGCGTAAAGCTGAGCAATTACTGAGTAAAAGCAATTGCTCATTTTAATTCACCCGGTCTATTGCACTTTGGTTTTGTACCGATTTGTTGTCGCTGAATCTTGTAGAAAGAACCGGTTTTGTAAAATTTTTTGAAAAAAACTTTGGTATAGTCACTCCATCACGTTCATCATTGACATGCGGAGTTTTAATTGATATGTTCAAAGCAGTCAAGACCAGTGTAAAGAATGTTTTGAAATATTCAAATGCTGTTTCTTTACTGTTTGATGGCTGGACAGATAAATAAAAAAGATTATCATTTATTGGTGTAAAGTGTTCAGTAATAACAAGTGAATGGGGTAGAAAAATTTTTACTTTAGCTTGTGCACCGCTGGAAAACCACACTGCAGAAAATATTGCAGATTTTATAAAGGATGTACTAGACTACTGGGTTGTGAAGAACCTCAACATTGCTTAGCTCATGTGCTGAACTTACTATTGGTCTCAACAAATGTCCTGAAGTCTTAATATTGCTTAAGAAATGTCGAAACATTGTAACATGTTTGAGCTTCAAATCAACTTCTCTTATTAATGTATTTTTGTGTACAAATGATGATGTAGATCTTTATGATAAATTAAGAAAAATTGCAGAAGTGAAAGAACTTGTTAACTTTGATGAAAAATTCCCAATTCAAGCAAATCAAGCAAGCCCAAATGACAATCCTATCATTTCAGATAGTGAAGATGAATGTCAAGAAAAAGATTTATTTGTAGAAAATTCAAGGTATAAATCTAAACAGCATAAAAGTTTAAAACTCCAAGTATGTAGTCGGTGGAACAGTGCACTATTTATGATAGAGTCTATTGATCAGCTTTATAATGGTGTAAAAAAACTTTTAAAAAAAACTGGCAAAATAGAACTGTGTCTCAACGAGTTTGAGCTACAATTGCTAAGGGAACTTGTTAAGTTCATGAAACCTTTTCAAAATTTGACAGAAGTTGTGAGTGGGGGGAACTCTTTCTCTATTCTGCCATTGATCAAACATAAAATTGCATCGCTTTTAAAGGTTTATATTGATGATTTACCTGTGATAAAAAAGTTAAAAATGGCTTGTGGCTTAAAATTAGAACAGCGCCTAAAACTGTCACAAACGGCCAAATTATCATGTCTGTTAGATCCAGGAGTTAAGTCCATCTTCCCAAATAATGAAGCAATTAATATACTATAAGAGACTTTATCAAGTTTTACAGAAAGTTTAAATTCACATGCAGCAGTCAACAATGTAACTCATAACAATGACAATAAACTATTGAAAGATGGTAAGCTAGAAATAAATAAAGTATGATATAAATAAAATAAAAATTATAAATGATAAAAAAAAAATAGTTTAGTAAGTTGTATGATATGTTTAATTATAGTACTATAAGTAAAGTTCTATACTATAGCTGGTTGCTATGGTTGCATATAGTTTTAAAATTTTAATATTAAAATTTTAAAAGTATATGCAATGTTTGTATTGAACTATTTGCACGGCTGATTTACGTTACTTTGCTGATTTATGTTGTAGAAAATTATCCTACTGCAAAGAAATTGCTGCTTCAAGAAATTAAAGCTGCGCTTTCGAATTACGATCAAAACGGACATCAAAGTTTAGCCAGGGAAGTCAATAATTATATTAATTGTCTACCAACAGAAGAAGAAGAAAAAGACCCTATAGAGTTTTGGAAAAATAATCATAAAAAGTTTCCTCATCTGGCATGTCTGGCAAGTGAATATTTATGCATTCAATCAAGCAGTGTAGAAGTGGAATGCATGTTTTCCACTGCTGGATTAATTGCCAATTCTCGAAGAAGTTTACTAGATCGAATTAATATGAACATGATTATTTTTATACATGATAACATTGGTTTATTGTAAATTAATTAGGGTTGTCATATAAATTGAATAATTATAATAGTTTCAAATAATACATGGTATTTAATTTATATTCAGCCGGCTAGCCAGCTTTATTTTTTATTAGTCAGCCGCCACTAGGTTTACAACCGGCTAGCTGGCTATCCAGCCACTTGTATTAGCGAGCCAGCCATATGTTCTATTTACTGACGGCTGACAAGTCTAATTACAAGCGATATTTGAAATGTTTTATCAATGTACATTTATCAAAAAAAGGCAAGTAACAAAGAGTAAAAAGTTGTATAAAAGAAAAAAAATGAAGCTGTAATCTGTACTTTCCATAAATAAAAAAAATATGTAAATTCACCAAGTGGTCGAAGAAGGTTTTATAAGGAGCATAATTTTGAACTTTTTTCCCTATAAAACCATTGTTTTTTGGGTTTTTTTCACATAAACTGAACGTGTTTATTTTTAGCTGTTTAACCTTGGAAACACTGATTAACTTTTCAAGTATTAATGACCAAATAGGGTCATTTATACTTGAGGGAGGGGGGGAGAGGAAGAGGCGGTGGTAGATGTGAGGGGGTGAATGGGATAAATTAAAACGATAAATAATAGTTATTATTATTGTAATAGTAAAAATAATTTAAAATAATTTAGAGAGCCGAAGCCATTTGGGTAATCTTTTACAGTTGCTTCAATAATAAACGCGAACATAATATTTTAAAATAATAACAATAATAATAATTTATTTGTTATTAATTATTTATTATTATATAGTTGTAAACATTTGGAATTTTTCTATTACGCTATTTCAAAAGAAAATGGTTTGTTTATTGAAAAAATCTACTGAAATTGCATTTTGAACAAAAATAAAGTAAAATAACAAACAAAAGAAACGAAAATGTTTGTTTAAAAAATTAAATTAGAATAAAAACCGAAAATAAGCAGTCAAAAAATATCTTTATTTTCAATTTGCGGCATTAAATTTAATAAAATAAAAATAATTTCCTCACCATTTCAATTGACAATAAAAAATGACCCTTTAAATGCTACTTTAGCAATTTACAACGTTAAGTAAATTTCTTTTAATTCCAAATACCATGCAACGTTCCAAGTTATATTTTTCGAGCAAAAGATTTTTTAGTTCATTATATTTCTAAATGGAAGGCTAATTAAATCATAATCCTCTCAATGAATAATTTCAAACAAAGTTGTAAAACTTAGAATTGTTCTCAACAGTGGCGATTTCCTAAAATACACAAGCCACGACTTAACTATAAAGAAAAGATATTTAATTGCATTATTCCTACAGAATACCAAGGATATAGCTATTTTTAAGCACGGGGGAAAACTATTTTTTGGTTTTTATGCTTTCTATGATTTATTTTCATGTATTTTTTGTATACATCATTTTATATATACACGTTACGGTTAGTATAGTTTTTATTGTCAATCACAAAAAAATAAATAAATAAGAAATCTATCAAAAAAAACTTAGGTTTGCTATTAAAAACTTTAAGGCATCTAAAACTCTCGGATTAATAAAATCTTTAACGAACTTTACTTCTTAATTGATAACTTATAAATTTGTATTAAAAATATATTTTTTATAACTGCATTATCAAAAGTTTTATGAAACGTTAAACAAATTTATGCGTCAAAAAAACAACAAAAACTAATTCATTGTATCGTCAACAAAATTTCCAACTTATTCCAATAATTAATATAATAATTTAATTAGTTATTTCAATAAAGTAGTAAATTTTTCTACTACATAATATTATATAATTATGGCTCAGACAAAATATGTCATAAAATTTAAAATGTCATAAAATTATACAGATGATTATTAGAATAAAATGTCAAACTCAATTATTAAATTTGATTCAATATTTTTTAAACCATTCAATCTTTCGAAGCAATCGTAAACTCTTCTTATAACATCTAGAGTTTCCCCTAAGTTGGCTTCCTATCTTCAAACCAAGCAGTAGTTAATTTCTTAGTAGTTCTTTATTTAAAAGTTTATATAAAAATCCATGATTTAAACTGAATAGTTAGTTATACAAGCGTTTAAAGGGCGAAGCTTATGAAAGTCAATTTATATTAAATAAGTTTTTTTTTTAAATTGATAAAAAAAATAACTTGACACATTTTAAATAAAAAACTTGTAACAAAAGCGATAAATAAAAATAAACTACCAATTCTTACTAAAACAAACCAATCCTTATTAGGTTTATATTGATTTCATAAAAACATTAAACAAAGCAACGTGATTGAGAGCGCTTGTACGTAGGACATACACATGTATGTTCAAGCCTTACTAGTGTTTTCAAGGTATTTACTAGTGTTGTCAAGATATTTACTAGTATTGTCAAGGTATTCGGTACTAAGTAGTTAAGTGATTTGTTTATTTTGAGAATCGAAATTGTAAAACAAATATTTTGATGTTTAGAACTATTGTTTTATATATTTTAGATGATTTTCATTAAAATGTTTTTAAAAAAGGTTAAAAATATAAATGATAAACTCGATTCTAAGGTGGTAGGGAGGTAAAAAAAGCTATTTTCTGATATTCGTCAACTCTTTTTAGTTTATTAAAGCTGTTAAATACATTAATAGAAATAGATTGCATTAAAAAAAACTTTTTTATTTTTCAAACAGAAAATCCATAATGGCGTAAAATATATTAAATTTGACCGTTAAAAGTTACATTTTTGAAAAATCATAACTTAATAAAACAAAAAAAAAATTAAAAATCCTTTTACACTTATATATTATACTATATTATACTCTGGATGACCGATAGGACTAGCATAAATCATTTTATACTAAAAATTATTGATTTTTTGTGTGAAAGTACCACTTTTTTTAAACATATGTTTATACAAGTTTGCACCTAAACCGGATTTTCTCAAGATACTCAGTGATTTATGTAAAATCTTAAGATCATCTGGAGTAATCAACATGAACACAATCTTTAAAAATCAAATGCTTTTTTCTCGAATTATCATGTTTTGAGTAATGGCAAGTATGCAAAAAGTTGAAAACAGAAAAAAATGCAAAACAAAAGTAAAATGAGCAAAAAATAAGTTATCTATTCAGTAAGAACTCGTTTGATAATTTTTCTTTTTATCACAAAATCCTTTTTTTCTGGCTCACAATCCACTTCTATGCTTTTTTCTCCATCTGTGGATTTCTTATCCTTTCATTTAGTGCTTTTTGCTTTTTCATTTAGTTTCGTTTAGTTTGTGAATTATGTAAATTTGTTGCCATAGCTTTTGAAAATTCCAAACCAAAGTATTTTAAAACCTTCAATATTTTGTTGCGTACATTATTAAATTCCTGTCGACAAATTTAGTTTTTGGTAACCTTGACCATGTGAGTCCATTTAGGGCCTCATTTGCGTTCTGGGTTTTTCCATGTAAACGTTTATTTAAAAAATCCTCGCCCATTAAAATTCTTCAAATGGGTAGAAGTAGACTTATTATTCAAAAAAAGATTGTATTCGAGGACCAGTACTTGCACTAACAATTGGTTTCTCAAGAGCAAAATTTGTGATGCAAGAAAGTTTTTTTTTTTTTTTTTTTTTACTTTTTAAGGTGTTTATATTCTTATTTTTATTATTATATCTATGAGCTTCCTTTGTATTAACTGTTAAAACAATCTAAATTTAAAGACGTGCAGTTCTCTAAAGAATTTTTGTATATAAGATAAAGTATAAAATGTACAATAGAACTATAACAACTTTTCAGCTTATTATTAGAGTTATGTTTGTTACTTCAAAATATATTATTTAGAACGCTGAAGACATAGCTTATACACCATTGTGAATGTTCATGGTAAAATATAAACGCACATATGAGAGGAAAATAGAGAATAAACTTTAGTTTATGGTAACTAGAAACGTTGTCATGGAATCGGTTGCTACCTAAAAGTGTTTTAAGGTCTAGATATGAACCAAAAAAACACTTTTTATCATTTTTAACGTTTGTTGCATGAAATGTTTAAAAGAAAAAAAAAAAAAAGGAAAATATTGAAACTTAAAAACATCCTGGGTGGGGGCACATATATCCACCAATTTTGCTTTCTATTTATCATTCATTCTACGTCTTTCATCAAACAAAAAACTAAATTAAAAATCGAATAATAAAATTTTCTAAAAGAATGCTGAAATTTCAATAAAAATTTGTTTTTTAAATTTTTTTATTGGATCACAGAAACTACATAGAAACAGTTTTCATAGAAACAAATGTTTTGTTTTGAGATGATCTCATTTTAATCAATCATAAATGTCTTTTAATGATACGTAGAAAATAAAACTAGATATATTTATTTAAGACTGATTTAAAAAGTTTTTCTCAATACTTGTAAATGATAACTTTTTATATTTATAACTATTAGATATTATTAAACTTATAAATTATTATTTGTTATATAAAGTTACTTTAAACACCAATATATATATATATATATATATATATATATATATATATATATATATATATATATATATATATATATATATATATATATATATATATATATATATATATATATATATATATATATATATATGTATATATATATGTATATATATATATATATGTATATATATATATGTATATATATATATATATATATATATATATATATATATATATATATATATATATATATATATATATATATATATATATATATAGAGAGAGAGAGAGAGAGAGAGAGAGAGAGAGAGAGAGAGAGAACAATAAAAGAAATTAAAAAAAATCTAAAATCTATAAACTTGATGTTTAAATAAAAAAAGTTATTTGAAAAGGTTTCTAGAATTTATTTTTTACTATTTTTTATTTGGGATAACGCGATTTTTGAAATCATTATCAATCAATCAACTTAAATTCAAATAATTCAAGTTTCTTTGCGTTGCTATAGAAAATTTAAGTAAAATAAAAGAATGACGCCATGTTATAATAGTAACTTAACGTGCGTCACAATCGATATAATCTTATGAAGGCTCTTTATCAAATTTTATCTGAAGAATGACGACTTCCCGCAATTAAACTTTCGTAACATTATGTGTGATATGCTTTTAGTTTTTTAATACTACCATCATTAACATTAACAGTAAACTATTTTACTAGCCATAATATCATACAGAAAAACTGATAAAAGACATATTTTTTTAAAAATAAAACTAAGTGAAGTAGTTATAGTTTAACTTTAAATTAAAAAAAAAAGATGTTCTCGAACTGATGCTGTTGAGTAATCAAAAATAAGATAATGTAAACCATCACATAAAAGTTAATTTTATAATAACAATAAACGGTGAGTACTCTTGCCGTTAAATTTATTCCGGATATAGAAAATATTATTTAAAAAAAACCAAAGAGTTGCTTATCAGATGCTCTGTGTTGTCAACCCAAAGTTAAAATAACAAAATTAAAAAAAAACAAACAAACAACATTTTTTCAAAATAAAAACAAATTTAGCGTTAATACTTACAAACAGTTCATTTCTAAATTCGCTACAAAGCTCTTTTGTTAATTATTTTAACTTTTATGTCTTAACTTTTAAATGTTTATAACTTATAAATATATTATTGTTTGAAATAAAAATAAGTAAAAAAATAGCCATGTCGATTTTAACATGTTATCTGCTATAAAAATGTTTAATCTCTTCTCATAAATATATACTTTAAATATTCCAAACATGACAAGAATTTGAACATATACACGTACAAAAGAAATTTTTTTTCTGAATGGGAAAATTTAAATGCTATAAAACGCTTTTTTACATAGGGTGTTGATAATTGGCATCATTTTTTAAGGAGGGTGTTGTAATTCGGTATCATTTTTGAATCTCGCATTTTATTTGGCAGCCAAAAACTCTAATATTTTATTTAAAATATCTAAAAATTCGTTTACAGTTAATTCCTTTATAAGATTTAAAGCATTTTATTTGAACAAGTTCTATAACTTAAATGCTTTTAAGAAGATAAAATTTTAAAGGATATTGTTTTTCTCAACTCCTCATCTATCTCCCAATCTAAAACGTTGTTGTTTGATTCACCTCAAGTAACTGCTCCAGTCACTGGTCGCATAATTCGTTTGACATATACTTTATTTTTCGTCACTTTTTCTCTTTCAATTAGTAAACTTAATTTACGCAAGAAAAAAGCCCAAAAACAATATTTTTTTCTTTAATGATTCTTAAAGTAAGAATGGAGCATTTAAAGAAATTGTTTTCGAGTTAGAACTAGCAATAATAATAGTAATAACAAATAAGTTAATAAGATTAAATCTACGCACGGTCTTGCTTTCTAACAATAAAAGTTTGCTGTTGTTAACATTTTTTTGGGCTAGAGTTCCTCTAAGCTGACACAAAATAATTTAAAAGTATAATAAATTGGTTTCAGAAACATTTACGACTATTTTCTAACATATTCAAGCAACAATAACAAAATCACTGTCACGTTGCTACAATTACTGTCATAAATAAATTACCGGTGTAAATAAAATATATAATATATTTTTTTGCTTGTTTTTATAATAAAGTACAAATAATTTTGCGAACAATCTCTTTCAAAAGAAAGTAAATCAAACACTAGTCCCAGAGAAAAAAACTTATACATAAAACTAATGGAAACGCTTTGAGTTAAAACTTGATAAACTTAATTTTATTAACTTGTTTCTTTCTTCAAACTGACTGACTTCAAACTTTATTGACTTAACATTTTATCCGAGTTGACTAATACAACTTAATAAACTTAACATTTTCTTCAAGTTTACTTATACAACTTAAAACCATTTTTGGTTTTATATCTTTACCCGATTTTAACTTTTTTTCCCGACACTTTATGCGGCACTTTTCCGACACTTTATGCGACACTATAATTACTTTTCTAATAGCAGTTTCGAAACTTTTAATGAAAAGAATTGAAAACAAAAATTATATAGGCGACTCTGACTCTGTTTAATTAAAAATTTAGTCTTTTTCTTTAAAAGCTTTAAACATAGAAAGCGGTTTTATAAAATGGAAGTCCTCAACGTTGCAATGAGGGCATATTATCTGCTTGGAAAATTGCGAGAAAAATAACGATTTTGAACCAGCATTGTCAATTATCATTTTGTTGCAATTTTTGCACGATAACTGCCAATTGCAACACGGAATTGCAGAAAGTATGTCATAATTATATAACGTTCCAATTTGAAAGAATGAACCATTCCAAGGTATTGCACAATGAACACATTTGATTACTTTAGAGTAACCTTCCAGGCAATCTATGCATATATAGCACATATAATTCAAGTAATCTGTTAGCTTTTTTTTAACAAATTTTATACATTTATCGTGTGATAGTTTTATGGGTGTCAAGAACAATGTCCCATCTACAACAGGAAAGCTTTCGTAGACTTGAGACTGAGTATCGCAAAACATACACATCACGTGTGATAAGTTCCATTGGTTCATTGTTTTATGAACTGATGTTATAATTTCTTTAGCGTCTTCATCACTCCAATCTTCAAGCCTCAATTTTACTTGTCGAAAGCGTTCTTTTGAAAGATTTCTTTGTAGCACATTTAAATCCTTTCGTTTGGGAAACAAAGGTACCGAGGAACGTATAGAGAAATTTTTACCGGCGTTTTCAAAAACTTTAGAACTATTTACGAATCGATCAGTAACGGATAGTTGGTTGAAGGAATTCATCGTATCGTTTATATTAGAGCTAAAATCATAATCTGGTTTGTTGCTTGCTAGTGGTTTTTTATCAGACGCAGAATCATTGGAACCGCCATAGTAGGTCGAGTAATTATCTTCAAAGCGACAGGAGCAATACGACGAAAATCCATTGAGCAGCGGCGGCGATCCAAACATAAACTTCTCTTCAATCGTTTGAACATTTACTCTACTCATATCTGGCGCAAATTTCTGCCACTTCAAATTATGCTGCGTTATATAGACTTTTCCAGTTTCCTGTAAAACAAAACAAAAACATTTTTCTTTTTCATTATAAAAACAACGTATAAAAATAATTTTAATCGAGATTTAATGACTTTATAATTTAATCTTAAAATTTTTTCGCAAAAAAATAAAATGATGAAAGTGAAAAAACAAACTTTCAAAAGCTAAAAATAAACCCGTGATAAATACTCGAAACAAAAATTACTACTGCTCCAATAGAAAATTTCTATGCAAAAAAGAAAAAAATTCAATTGATCGTTTTAAGTCTTTATTAAATAAATTCATTTATTAACAAAACACCTTCTACATTAAATATAAAGATTCATCGACAATAAAAACTAAAACTTTTACACAAAAATTAAATCGCTAAGAAGTTTAAAAAATCAAATCACAGTAAATACTATTCAACGCATCTTGCAGACTTAACAAATAAAATCAACAGCTCGACTAAAGCCACAAAAAATACCTCGCATGCTTACACAAAGCTAAGCTATAGTCAAATATTTAATCTTCGTTTAATAATAGCAACGTCATTTCAATACAACAAAACGGAAGACGACAAGTCAAGAGATTTAGCAAATAAATAAGCAAAATAAAAACGAAACATCGAGTAATTTTTAACTCGATATTTAAAAAAACACGATTATTATTTGAATCTGTTTTTAAAAAAATCAAGTCAAAATATTATGTTAAAAAAAAAAATCAAACAAATATAATTTTAAAGCTATATTAATTAAAAAAATATAAATTAAAAATATCACAAGCATCTAAAAATTATTAGATAAAAATAAAACATAAAAAAAAACAATAAACAAATCAAAGTTTATTTGTTCAAATAAAATCCTATCAATACATAAACTTTTTTAAATAAATAATCTCCAGATAATATAAAAAACTTTTATTATTTATGTAATATACAATTTTTATATGAAAATATAACAAAATTTTCATATGTACTCTTCTTTTTTTTTTTTAATCGAACTACGTAATAAGTAATTTGAAAAGATTATATTTATGTAGAAAAAGTTTTAACTCAAATATGTAAATAGTTAAAAACCTGAGCTAGCCACACTCCCTCTCTACGTACCGCAGATTCGTCACTTAGAGAACATAACGTTTGATGAGCAAAAACCTTGTTTTTAAGTTGGAGAGTGGAAAAAATTAAAAACATTATATAACATGTAACAATAAGGTTGCGAGTCTATACATAAATATATAATAAACATAGATCAACAAAACTGAAATTTGAGTTATTCTAAAACTTATAGATTATAAAAATTTATTATTATATAGTTATTCTAAAATTTATAGATTATTAAGAAATATTTTTTAATTGTACAGATTAATCCGAAACACGAAAATTTGAAAAAATATTTACTAACGTCTGCCTCCCCACGTCGCGACCTTGCATTATTTTATGGGGCGCATACAAATAAAAATTTTCTCCACAAATTATCCATCGATGCACTAGATTGTTTCATGATTTCGTTGACTTATAATTAGTTTAAGACTTTTAGTTTTAGGTTTTAATGTTTTTGTTGCAATTTTTATAATTTTTTATATTTTATTTAGATATATTTTTCATTACAACTTTTATTACAACATTTACATTAAAAAAATTTCCTTTTAAATTTTTTCAAGAGCCCCATCAAGCAATAAAAGGTCCTGGGGAGGCAAAAAACAAAAAACTTTACGTAATCTTTAGAAGATCTTTAATTTTTATTATTTGATTAAACAGAAAATCATTTACAAAATCGAATGCGATAAATTCTAATGTACAATCAGTCTATTTAGCATTTATAACAATTATAAATAAATAGATAACTAAATTTTATAAGCGATAAGTAGGTTATTTCTTACTGTAACTTTAGTAATTAAGAAAAAATAATCAAAAAACGTTTTAAAAATTCTTTCAAAATATCTATAAATTTAAAAATCTAGTTATATTCTAATTAATCATCCTTTATCAGTATAAAAATGTTTATTATATTTATATAAATATTTACCTATATCTATATTAAGTATAATATATCTATCCTGATAAAGAAAAAAAAGAATTTATTAAAACAAAATACATTGATACAACATTGATATAAAATGTTTTGACACCAAGACTAGGTTCTTGCATCTGTAGAAGCAGAAGGCACAGTTATTTCTATACCATCCATTTCTTCATTTACTTCTATTGAACAAACAAGGCGTGACCTGAAAGTAAAGATATATTTAAAACACAAAAGTTTTAGTGAATAATCTTTCACATTAGAATATTAATTAGGAGTTCTAGAATCTTAAATTACAATTCAAAATTTTTTTTTTTTATGTTTTTTTAATTTTATATTATTACTATTATTATTATTATTATTATACAGTTTATTATATTAAAGATATTATTACTAAATCTATTATTATATTAAAAAATTAACGTGCCGTACGTGTCAGTTAATCCATAAGCTAAATCTAGCATATCTAGCTCTTCATCTGATATATTTTGCAATGACAACCGCTTAAAATCCTCAGGCTTGAATATACAGTGACATGTAGAACAGGCTAAAGTACCACCACATGCTCCTGTAAATAACAAATTGTAATCTATAAAAAACAAACTTTCATGATAAAATAATGTTTCAACAAAACAAATAAGTAATAAACAGCAATAATTAAAATTAACAAAACGAAACAAAACTTTTCTTTCACTTTATCAAACCCAATTGCAAAGAAAATTATGCTTAACATTTTTTTACACTTAAAGTATTTCATCTGTTGATTATACAACATGGTTAATGTAACCTCCGATTTTATTAGCATTCAAGCCAAAGACAACTCCCTTAGTTTAATAATTTAATCAACTTTTATTTTATAAATAGTTATTGGTTAATTATATTTAAAACAACAATAGTTATTGGTTAATTATATTTAAACCAAATCACAGCTTATGTTAAAAAAAACAAAACAACCTGTCTAGTTCTTTTATGAAAATCAGAACTAACTTTCTCATTAACAAATAAAACTTTAGGATTTTATCTTTATTAGATTGAATACTTAAAAATAATTTTCGTTATGCGTCCAACAACTTTAAACCAAATAACCAGTAACCATAGAAACAAAAAAATTTTAATTGATATTTTTAAACAATAAATATATTATTTTTTGTGTACTACATGCACCATGTACCATTAGGATGGGCAGAAAAACAATAATTTTCAAAAATTGCCTAGCAATACATTTATTCTATATAATAAAATAACACTGGAAATATAAAAATTTTTAATAAAAAATATTTTCAGAGTTGCACCCAAGATCAATGAACATTTACAAGATCCCTAATATTTTGAAAATAAAAGTTTTTTAAAAGTAACTCAACCTGGTACTCAAAAGAATCGAAATTATATAAAAATTGAAAATAATAGGTGTAATATATGTAAAAACATTAGAAATAAACATATCAAAAGCTAGTAGAAATGCACCTTTTTCAACTTTTAGATAAAAAAAAAACATATTTTTTATGAAATAAAATCCCTACCAAAAATTTTGCGATGAAAAAATTATTTTTTTTTAAAATTTTTATATAATTTTGTTTCTTTTCAAAAAAGTACTATTACTAGACAGAAGAAAAAAATAAGAAGTTGAAATACTCTAAAGCTTCTTTAATTGCTGATTGGTTGAATTTATCCAACAGAGAAAAATCTGATATCAGTTTAGCTGTAGCTGAAGCATTAGGTTACAAACTGGATGAAATATCTCAAAAAGCATAGCAAGCAGATCAGGTAATATTTGACAGCAAGTTTCAGATGACATTAAAAAAATATTCAGTTCACCCACATAAATTTTATTTACTAGGATTTAAAGCTGGCATCTGAGGTAAAATTTAATGCTTGACTAATGTAGTAGCAGGAAAACCAAGTGCAGCTGAAGGGAATTATAGTGTGTCCAGGATTCCGGATACAACAAGATGAGGTTAGGCAACAGCAACCATAGATGCTGTATGCCATTTAGATACTTTAAAAATGAGGTATGATCTAAACTTTCATTAATTTTGGATACTACTTATAGAAAAATAAAAACTGAGGAACCAGTATTAAAAACCAAACAAGTAGAAATAATAACCTTTTTGCCTGGTTTGCTTAACCAGAAATCTCAACAATGATTAGGAGATGATTATCGAGAATGTTGCTTTACAATTAATGAACACAAAACAAATGTACACTGGTGCAAACCTGGGACCTACAATTTTGTACGCATCAAAAATGTTTAGCTTTTCTGATTTGGCAGAGAATAAAAAAAAGTCATATCAGGGTGGCCACTCAAAATTTGAAAATGAAATTCCATGACTTTTCCATAACTTTTCCATGACTCTTCATAAACTTTTATGATAAATCAGTAGAGTAAAATATTCAGTATTTGTCATACACCAAGCCATCATCCATATACAGTACTTGCTATACCCCAAGCATTTGCAATTTGGTCATTATAAAACATGCAAATCAAAAATGAATTGGTAGAAAGTTCTGAAATCTAAAAAATACTCTTTTTCTTTTGCTTCTCTGATAACACTGCAAAAATATCTTTTTCAAAAAGGACTTAGACTAGAAATACTAGTACTTTTTCTTTGCATCCTAAAAATATAACAAGTAGAAAAAAAAAGAAGATTATTTTAAAAAGTTCCAAGAAATTTTTCATGACTTTCAATGAAAATTTAGGAACTCCATGACTTTTTCTATGCCCAAATAAAACTCCATGACATTTCCATGATTTCCATGACCAGTAGCTATCCTGCATATAAAAAGATTATTTTTTTGTAAATTTATTATTGCTATTTTATGTGACGTGTACAAACACAACTGAATCACAATTTAATGATTGGACTTCTAGAAAGAAATGCTAATTTATAAAAAAAATGATAATGATGTTGCTAATGATGTTGCTAATGAAGTCGCTATTGCTGCTTTTTCAATTATAAACCAAAGAAAATCATCTTTCATTATTTTCTGATATCTGATTGTAATAAAGTAAAAATTACTAAAAAAATTCTTGAAATATAAGAGAAAACCAAAAACATGATACAGGCTGTCCACAATTTCCACTTACAAAACAAAGTACTTGTTTTATTTAGTTCTAAATTTCGTCTTACAAAGCCAAGTATTTGTTTTATTTAGTTCTAAATTTATTTTATTTTCAAATAAAGATGATTGTTAGTAAGCCCAATTCCCAACATTTTAGAAAGCTAACACAAATTTTCAGCACACGCTTGAGCATATTAAATTATTGAAATCTGTAAATAATACAGCAGAACAAAATTAATTCAAGACTATCCAAAATCTATTACAAAAGACGAAGAGCAGAATTCAATATTTTATGCATAAAAATACTGTTTTGACAAATATGAAAATTATCAAGTTTTTTTTTTGTTGTTTCTAGTAGACAAAACTATATATGAAACTGATTGAAAATCTAAAAAATAGTTCAAAATTAAATAAAACAATCTTGTATATACAAAGTATTCTTAAAGTTATATTAAATGCCTGAAAATGCCTAGCACTACTGATAATACAACCTTGTACAAATAAAGCAAGAAAAGTAAGCAAGTTAAAGTAACAAAGGAAAATAACAAAGAAAATACAGAAATTTTATGTTTATATCATGTTATAAAGTTCAGTCATTACTTTCTGTTATTTAAATTTTTATGGTGTTAAAAATTTAGTTTACTATCATTTTAACAGACATCAAATTGTAATATTCAACAAAAATTTTAACTTGTACAACAAAACTCCATTTTTGGGTTCCTTTTATTCGGATATATTTCATTGAACTGCAAAAAAAGCCACTTAGATGTTATTCAATATGCAAATGATGTCATGATTTATTTAGGAGACAGCTATGTAAGCAGTATTCAAAAAAAACTAACAGAGGATGTTATCAAATGTTATCAATTTATCAAATTGGTTTCAAAATAATAAATTGGTTAAAAAGAAACTAGAAATAAATAAAATGTAATTTAAAATTTGCATTAAAGACATGTTTCAGTAAAAAACTAAATCAAAATCTTCTATTTAATTCTTTCTACAGAAATCTGATCAAATGTGCTTGCTAGAACACCTGTGTCCCAATTAGACAGTCTTTTTTTTCTAAATTAGTTTAATTTTGTCAAAAAGCCAATCAAATATCATCAAAACAGATAACCTAACTAAA